TGAGGAATCTGGGCATCAGGAAAAGAAAGTAGCTGAAAGCACAGAGGAGCAGAGTGGCTTCTTAAGTCTACTTCATCTTCTGCCTCAGCAAGACTGTTCTTCAGGGACACATTGTAATGTCAGACACTGAGCAGAGTAAATGTCAGAATGCTGATTTAATCCTCACTGCATGATGAAACGAGGCTGTTGAGAAATCCCCAGGAACACAAGAAAAAGACACCCAAGTCCTACTGGCTTTATTGTGCTTACCTTTTTAAGCTCAGGGGCCCGCATACTTACCGTCACATTTAAGAATTCCTTTAAGGCAAACGCAAGAAAAAAACATGTGCAAGAGGCAAGAGAGGAAAGGGGGTTGCTCCATGTGAAATTTAAGGAGTGTAAAGTCTTTAAAAAACAATTATTTTTGTGACCAATTTATGGAATACAGACTGCACATGACACTAGACAAGATTAAACTCTCAACTCTGGAACATTACACCAAGAACTCACCTGTTCCTTGCATTCCCAGATTCCCTTTGGTCACTGGAGGGTGCAAGACCAAACACTTCAGAACATTTTCTGAAAACTTGTATCAAAATCTGAACAAATATCAAGCAAACTGATTCATAAACACTATACCTGTAAGTGTGAGTGATTCCATTTCTCCTGCAGCAGGAGAAAATAATCATAAAGTGATTCTTTCTTATGGAATACAATTTCAAGAATCAAATTATATTCTTAAAACCAAGCATTCCCATGGCCCAGGGCCAGAACACTTCTCTCCTCAAAATATCACGATAAAATTACTACTTTCTCTTCATGTGTTTCCTAAAATAAAAGTACTGATGGTAGCTCAGTATCTATCTTGAAACAGGACACACTGCCAATGCCACTGGTAAATGAGAGTCAGACTACTCAGAACAAGCAACCGTCTTAGCCCTGGATAATCCCATATTGTGGGATGAACAAACCTCTCCTATGCAGCAATATGCCCTGCCATGTTTCTTTATTATATCATATCCAAAAGCAACAGGGAACGATTTAATTAAAAAAAAAAATCATCATTCTCTAAGGGAGCTCAGAACACAGCAATATCTGTTTTCAAAGTATATCCCAGAAAGAGGTGGGTTTTTTTGTATTTTATTGAATGAGCACATCAGCAAGTACAATTTTAAGAAAAATCCACACACAGCTTCCTAGAAATAACAGTCTACAATTCCCTCCTAAGTTATCTTTAACCATCTGGTTTTCATATTCCCCAAGCAGCTTATACAGGGTTCTTCCCCTCCCCTGTGATTTTCCTGTTTTGATTATTTTAATAAATAATGGACACCACAGGCGATCCTAGAGAAAAATCCACATCTCAGCACTGCATAGCTGGACACCTAAGTTCACTGGATGTCATCATCATCAAAGAGATCTTCGAAATCTAGTCAGAAAAATAAGATAAAGTTAACCTTGAAAGGTTCAGCTGTCACATAAGCACATTCTCAAATACAGTTCTTCATTATGTGGATTAAAGACAGACATAAAGGTGAATTAAGTGAACCAGAGTTATGACACCATCAGTTACTAGAAATGTAACATCAGGCTGGGAAGAGGCAGGGAAGGCAGGCAGGCAGACCCATCTACACGTTCTCCATCATACTCCAATTACACTGCTTCACTTGTACAACACAAGCCTTGCAATTAAATTCATCAAAGCAAATAAAGCCTCAAAGGAGGGGCTTTTACAAACGCATTAACCAGCCACCACAGTCAGTGTGGATCAGCCACGATTCCCAGACTCCAGAGCTAAGCAAGTACTGGCTTTATGCACGCAGCAGGTCTCAGATGTAGACACTCCTGCAGAAGCCTGGCTTTTGGTCACAGTATCCAGGCACACGCTCATTAATTTTGCAGATTGTCATTTGCTGTTCAAAATCCTCTCTGAAAAATGTTTAATTGCTGCCAAGGTGCTAATCACATTTCTCTCTCAGAAAACTCGTGTCGCTCAGACTAGTGAAACGTGGTCAGCTAATCACAGCTGTTCTAGTCATCTTTGGGAACTACTCGGCTCCCTATCTCCTTTGCATATCGAGCACAAACTAACAAGACAACGGAAAGCAAGCCTTTATTCTTACAGAGGGCAACACACAAGTGCTATATGATCAACCGAGGATTAATCCTCATTTAGAAGAGTCCTGAACTCACACCAGAATTTAGTACTGCTACTTAATGGTAGGACTTTATGGAAATACCTACTCCTGAACATGCTGGCTCCAACAAAGAGCCAGGTCCCTCCCAACTGGGGGGAGTATATAAAAATTGAACTTCCTTCTTCTCCTGTATAGCAAGTCTTGAGCAAAACGACAAACCTACTTTATTTCAGAATTAATATCAGCTTGTGACATCAACACCACCACAGCAACCGGATTTAATGACATATCTGAAAGCCACCGTTGTAATGTCTAAATATACTTCTTAAGAAGCATTAAAAAAGCCACCTTAGTAACCAAAGGTAAGGTGGTGTATATTGTACCCACAAGTGGCCAGATACATGGCTGGTCTCCTCTCTAACAGCAGTTGCGTATACTTATGCGCAGAGTTGTCTTTTAAATGCTGAAAGCATATAAGAAAAAGTTTTATTTTCCTTTAGATACATAGGCATGCACACCCTAAGAGATTATAGAAATATTTATTAAATAATAACACATAGAGACAATTCTGGGAAGTTCTGTCAACGTTTTTGTATCTATTTGTGCCGTTTCCTGTAAGCTATTCGTTATGCAAACATTATGGCTTTTTTTTTTTTTTTTTTTCTTGCGGTGTGTAACACGGTAATTCACCAAAAACGTAAGGCAGAGGAGAAAGACATCACTCCCACCTCCATCATTTCACACTGAAGCCCTCCTAGGGAGCTCGCTAGAAGTGTGGTTAGTGAGCGCCTTACTCCCTACCAGGCACCAAAGACATGAGATTAGAAAAAAAACAAGCAACATTTGTTTTAATAATTTTCAGTTGCTATAGCTGCTACCTGGCAGGCCCAAGGCGCTCTACCGTCCCCGCCGAGCGAGCAGTCGCCACGGTGACCCCCTACCCTCCTCCCCGGACGCGCGGCGGCCCTTACCGTTGAAGAAGTCGGCGTGCACCGCTTTCTCGTTGGCGGCCAGATCCATCAGCAGCCCCGTGCTTCCCCCTGCCTGGGAAAGCAGGCGCTGAGCGCCTCCGGGCCGCGGCCGGGCAGCACAGCCCCGTCACCACCCGCCACGCCTAGGAGCCCCACCGCCACCATCCCCTCACCAACTGCTCCCCCAGCACCCCCTCACCTCATCAAGATCCACGTAAGGGCCGGCCCCCTCAGGGA